AAGTATGGCCTTTACAGTGATTGGTTGATTCGATTTCCTCCCCTCCCACACAGTCTTTTTCTTTTAAAAGGGCATGCACCATGTTAATAAATGAGTTCCTGCTTGACTTGACTCCCCACTACATCTGATTGTCCCCCGGGCTAGAAGAGGCTGAGGAACGGCCTAGCGGCCTCACTTACCTTTCCTGGGATGCTGTCCTTCTTTCATGGGATGGACGAAGACCCAACACATGTGTCTATATCTACTAAGAGACGTGCAAAGATCAAATAATTTACAACCCAGTTGTTAAGAATATAGACACCTATTCCATCCTGCAATTTTTTCAGAGTGTCTGCTTTGATTTCGAGGTCTTTGATCCATTTGGAGTTGATTCTGGTGCAGGGTGATATGTAAGGATCTAGCTTTAGTTTTCTACAAGTAGTTAACCAATTTTGCCAGCACCATTTACTGAATAGGCTGTCTTTCTTCCATTCTATTTTTTTAGCTCACTTATCAAAGATTAGATGGCTATAGGTCAGTAGGTTCATTTCTGAATATTCAATTTTATTCTATTGGTCCTGAGGTCTGTTCTTGTGCCAGCACAAAGCTGTTTTGATTACTATGGCTTTATAGTAGAGTTTGAAATTTGGTATTGATATTCCTCCAGCAGTGTTCTTTCCGTTGAGGAGCGTTTTTGCTATTCGAGGTATTTTATTGTTCCATATGAATTTTTGGATTGCCTCTTCTATTTCCTTGAAGAATGAGGTTGTAATTTTGATAGATATAGCATTGAATTTGTAGATAGCCTTGGAAAGTATTGCCTTTTTCACGATGTTAATCTTTCCAATCCAGGAGCATGGGAATTTTTGCCCTTTTCTAAGTTCTTTTTTGATTTCCTTTTTCAAGTTTTTAAAGTTTTCATCGTAGAGATCCTCCACTTCATTGGTTAAGTTAATTCCTAGGTATTTTATTTTTTGTGGGGCGAAGTTGCAGAGATTCTGTATGGGAAAGGACATAGCTAGCAAGATCAATAGAAAGCCCACGGTTTGTGGGAAGATCTTCTCTAGGCATACAACGGACAAGGGTCTCATATCTAAAATATACTTGGAACTCAAAAAATTAAATCGAACAACAACAAATCCTCAAAGGAACAACTGCCCAATAAATAAGTTGGCTAAAGACTAAAAGAGAAACTTCTCTGAAGAAGAAAGAAGGATGGTCAATAGACACATGAAGAAATGCTCAACCTCCCTAGCCATAAAAGAAATGCAAATCAAAACAACATTGAGATACCACGTCAACCCAGTTAGAATGGCAAAAATAACAACAGATGCTGGAGGGGATGTGGACAGAAGGGAACTTTACTTCATTGTTGGTGGGAGTGTAAACTTGTTCAACCACTTTGGAAAGCAGTCTGGAGGTTCCTCAAAAGACTTCACATAGAACTCCCCTATGACCCAGCAGTCCCACTTTTGGGCATTTACCCAAATGTTTACAAACAAGACCACACTAAAGCTCCCAGCACAACTATGTTTATTGCAGCATTATTTACCATAGCTAAGATATGTAACCAATCCAGATGCCCCTCAGTAGATGAATGGAAAATGTGGTATATATACACAATGGAATTCTATGCCTCCATCAGAAAGAATGACATTGCCCCATTTTTTAGGAAATGGAAAGACTTGGGAAATATTATATTAACTGAAGTAAGCCAGGCCCAAAGAAACATAGGTCCCATGATTTCCCTTATTTGCAATATCTAGTATATGTATGAGTCATGCAGAAAAGGTCAGATAAAGTGATGTTAGGAAAATGAACCCAAAGATATGTATTTAAATGTTTTTTTTTCATGCATTTGTTTCTAACGCAATTTTAAGATTATTTCTTTGTTGCTTTGTATGTCCCTCCCCCACAGTATAACCCCTGTTTTCACTGTATTTGATGTCAGTATAATTTGTGGAGGGGCAGGGGAAAAACAAGCCGTTTAAATAAGGATAGAGGTGGATCTGTTGCAACAATTAGAAGTATAAGTTGTCATGTCGAAAACGAACTTTGCAACGTGGGAGGGAGGAGGATTGGGTTGGGGGACAGGGGGAGAATGGGAAGGGATGGGAAGGGTAAACAAAGGAGGAGGCTACAATGCTTGATAAGAAATGTACTCACTATCTTGCCCATGTAATTTTAATCCCTCTGTACAGTATTTTCACAATAAAAAATAAAAAATAAAAAAAAGAATATAGACTCATATTCAACTGAATTTCAAATTCAATTTTGGTTTCTTAACTGCTTTTGGTTAAAGAGGTAGACAGTATATAACTGAGCTTTATTAGCTTGTACAGAAATGTGGATGGTGCCAGGTATAGGTGACTCATGCCTATAATCTTACTCAGGAGGAGGAGATGTAAGGATTGTGTTTCGAATCCAGCCCAGGCAGAAAAGTCCCCATTAGAATAGCAGGACAAGAGCCAAACTGATGAGCCAGATACTCTTCTGAAAAATGTATAATATGGTAGATTGTTTCCCACATGTCAGTTTGTTATTCTGCTCTAGTAAAAAAATGTCTAAGGCTCAGAAAAGGATTCAAGCTCTCTGTTAAACCATACTGTCGCCATTTTGTTTTAACTAAAGGAATAATTAATTTAGACATTGGTAGCTCATGCCTATAAGCCTTGCTGCTTAGGAGGCTGACATCTGAGGAACATGATTTCAGGCCAGCCCAAGCAGGAAAGTCCATGAGATTTGTCTCCAATTAAACAGTGATAAACCCAGAAGAAGAGGTATGCCTTAATAGAGTATTATTCCTCAGGAAAAAGCTCTATTTAAGCTGCCCTAAAACTTCAGGTCATATGTTTGGACATTGCCATCTACAATGCTGCTGGAATCTACCTTCCTTTGGTGTGTGTGCCTACAGCCTGGATATCACTCCTGTGGATATAGGATGCTTAGCCCTCGACCTTGGGGATGGCATGATCTATGTATGGAATATACTTCCCAGACAAACAACTATGATGCAAGCAATGATTGACAAGGTGTTAAGTCCAAAGTTACAATGGTAAGGATGTATTCTGTTTAGCTTTTTTCTTTAGTCAATTGCTTTTTAAAGTTTATCTCCTTATTTATTGTACTCTAGGAAATCAAAAGTTAATATTGAGGATTTTGGTGCAATTTGAAACTAGGCAGGTAAGAGCACCCATTGTCCACATATTCAACATTTGAAATTATTAAAACTTTGTTCAGATGTTTTAGTCATCAGAAATTTGAGCCAGGGATGGGAGCTCACAATTGTAATGCTATCTGCTGCCTCTTGACTGATACAGAGAGGATTATGATTTGATGTTAGCCCAGGAAAAACATTCAAAATATTGGATCTCAATCAATATCTGAACCCAATGCATTGTACTTCTTATTTCATCTACTCAGAAAAGGTAAAAAGAAGGATTGTGGTCCATGCTGGCCTGTTCATAGAAATAAAACCCTACCACAAAAATGGCTAAAGCTGAGCCGGGCGCAGGTGGCTCATAACTGTAATCTTAGCTATGCAGGAGGTGAGATCTGAAGATCACAGATCAAAGCCAGCCCAGGCAGCCCAGTGAGACTCTTATTTCCAATAAACCACTAGAAAACGAGAAGTGGTACTGTGGGTCAAACAGTAGAGCCCTCGACTTGAGCTGAAGAGCTCAGGGACAACACCCAGGCACAGAATTCAAGTCACATAACCAAAAGAAGAAAAATGGTGGCTGGGAAGGTGGCTCAGTGGTAGAGCGCTTGGCTTGCATGCCTGAGTCCCTGGGTTCGATTCCTCAGCACCACATAAGCAAAAAGAAAAGAGCCGGAAGTGGCACTGAGGCTCAAGTGGTAGAGCGCTAGCCTTGAGCTGAAGAACTGAGGGACAGTGCCCAGGCCCAGAGTTCGGGCCCCATGACTGGACCCCCCATCCCCCCTCCAAAAAAAGAAAAAAAATGACTAAAGCAAAAAAAAAGCAGGTGTATGGCTCATCTGTTAGAGTACCTACCTAAAATCATGAGACTCTGAGTTTAAGTTCTAAGATAGATGGGGAAAGAATGTGAAGGAATAGAAGGAAGAAAAGAAGGAAGGGAGGAGTTATTCTGTATATTGTACTTGCCTAGCTATTTCATTAAGGTGGCTTCTCATTCCTTTTTCTTCTTTCTTCTTCTTCATCTTTTTTTTTTTTTTTTTTGGTCAGTTGTGGGCTTGAACTCAGGTCCTGGATCCTGTCCCTGATCTTTTGTGCTCAAGGCTAGTGCTCTACCGCTTTGAGTTACATTTTCACTTATGGTTTTCAGTGGTTAATTGGAAATAAGAATCTCATAGATTTTCCTGCCCAGGCTAGTGTGGAACATTGATACTCAGATCTCAGCCTTCTGACTAGCTAGAATTAAAGATATGAGCCATAGGCTCTGGTCACCTATTTGTTTTCTTTCTTTTTGTTTTTTGTAAGTCATGGGACTTGAACTCTGGGTGCTGTCCCTGAGCGCTTCAGGACAAATGAAGTGCTCTACCACTTGAGCCAGAGCCCACTTCTGGTTTTCTGGTGGTTAATTGAGGATAAGAATCTCATGAGCTTTCCTACCTGGGCTGGCTTTGAACTGCAATCCTCAGATCTCAGCCTCTTGAGTAGTTAGGATTACATGTGTAAGCCACCTGCACCCAACTTCCTCATTTATTTTCTCATGGTGAGTTCTAGCTGATTTCTCTACTCCTTGTAGTTCCTAGCAACTACAAAGTAGGCCTAGAAGTACCTCGTCCTTTACAGTAGTCCTTAGGACCAAGTGACTGCTGAGTGCAGGAAAGGAGATGAGGCCAATATAAAATACAATGCTATCTATGTATCTATGTATCTATGTATCTATGTATCTATGTATCTATGTATCTATGTATCTATGTATCTATGTATCTATCTATCTATCTATCTATCTATCTATCTATCTATCTATCTATCTATCTATCTATCTATCTATCTATCTATCTATCTATCTATCTATCTATCTATCTAGTTATCCAGGGTAGAGCACTAACACAGTCCTACACTACCTCAATTTATGCAGTCGAATTTCTCACATTTGAGGAAATCACAGGAGTCAGCACATCTGGAATGTAATAGAGAAGCCTTTTCCTGGGAAAACCACCTTCGTAATCATGGTATCTCCCCTCCCAGGTAAGTAACAATGCTGACTTGGTATTTAAAAACTAACAAACATATGACAGTAGTTCACATTTGTAATTCTAGCTACTCAGAATGCTGAAATCTGAGGATTAAGCTTTAAATACAAGATAAATTTTGCTGAATTTTGATTAAAGTTCCTTTGGTGTTTTTAATTGTAGGTTTTATTTATTTTCTTATTTTACTGTTTCTTACTGTGACTACCAAAAAGCTGAGTGAGTTACGTGGCTTGTATTCCTGGATTACTTTGGAGGTGCTCTAAGCCTTCATCAGAGGCCAAATTTGTTCTACTCAGCTAAGTAGCCAGCTACAAAGCTGTAAGTGACAATACCTACAGTAAGCAAAATTACATAAAATTAAAAATTCAGACACACAGTTACACTAGCCATATTTCAAATAAAAATAGAATTCAAGTTTCCGTGAATGTTAGTAAAGTTTTAATGCATTCATTCTATCTGTGTCACCTGTGACACTGCCACAGAAGAATGGAATACTTACGGCATATCATGTAGCTCCCAAGGCATGGTGGTAGTTACTCTCTTCCTTTACAGAAAATGTTTGCCTGACCATGTACCCTAGTGAATATCATTTATTATGCAGAGCTACCCACTTTTCTATATGCAGTTATGTCTCCCTCTCCTTTTCTCCCTCCCTCTCTCTTCCCTCACCCAATCCCTCCCTTTCCTTGTTTTAGGAATCAAAACTCATGCATGGTAAGCTGCTAAGCTGAATCCCAGCCCTGTGTATGATCTTGTGTTTGGTGAAGGGGTTCTTTTTCAGGACTTGAACTTTGGCCCTGGACGCTATCTCTGATCTTTTGTGCTCAAGGCTAGTGCTATGCCATTTCAACCACCGGTCCGGTTCTGTCTTTTTGGTGGTTACTTAGAGATAAGGTCTCCTTGACTTTCCCTCTTCAGCTGGATTCCAACCATGATCTTATCAGCTTATGATTACAGGATGAGATATTGGCATCTACCTTACTTTTATTTTAAGTTTTCAAGTATCGTCTTTTAATTAAAAAAAGAACAAGTATGGGAAACTTTCCAGAGAGGTAAACAACTTAAAACTATATAGGTTTAAATTTCTCTGTATGATCACAAAATTGCTAAGTAGTTCTATTACTAACATATTATGGGGTGAATTTTCAGGACTAACAGTAATAATGTTAAGTAATTGGAGAAATGATCTAACTTTGTTTTTCGGTACCCAAGTCATATACTTTATTCTGTGTCTTAGGTGGAGAAAATCTGATTCATTGTTTAGAATGATTCCTATGAATCATAAAAATAATGACAGAGCTAGTTCAGTCAATGATTTAGAGTTTTAAAACAAAACTTACAAGATACTTTGCATTTTAATCTATACAGTTTGGTGATTGTGTCTAAAGCATGCCTTACTGACACACATTACTACAAAAGTCAGTTTGGAAAATCGGTCTATACTCAAATCTTGTCAAATTAAGAATACATTTGGATAGTGATGATATATGTCCAAGCAATAACTTGAAATAATTGTCACTGACTGTATTCACAGGTACAATTAGCTTCTTCGATTTCTACTTGTCATAATATTTATACTTCAGTAATGCTACAGCAGTATTAGACAATTTTGAAATGGCTGCTTCAAGGGACAGATAAGAAAAATAATCTTAAACCAGGAGGTAGTGGCTCACATCTGTTATCCTAGCTCCTCAGGAGGCTGATATCCAAGGATCGCATTTAAAAGCTAGCTCAGGCAGGAAAATTCATGGGACTTCTATCTCCAATAAACCATTAAGAAAACTAGAAATGGTGCTGTGGCTCAAGTAGTAGAGCACTAGCCTTGATCTGAAGAGCTCAAGTCAGAGTCCAAGTCCCCCGACTGACAAAAATAAATAAATAAATAAATAAATAAATGAAATCCCACACTGGCCAGATGAATGAGAACTGACAATGTTTTCTAGGTAAGGTATATTTAGTGCTAGTTTTTCTATATTTTGTGTTAACTTATATATTAAATGCTTTTTTGCAGTGAACAGAAGAAGGTTTTAAGTGACTTTTTTCTATGAATAACTGAGTTTGTAATAAAGTTATTTTGCTTTTATTGTCTATTTTCCACTATTTCTTTTCATCATTTAAATCTCCCTCTTTGTTCTGCCCCATCTTCCACTTCAACAGATTTCCAGGGTATATCATAAGAAGACTGTGTACACATTATTCTGGGATCCACCACTGCCTCCCATGTCATTAAGTAAGGCTATGCACCATTTTTTAACAAATATGTGGGGATTTTCTTTCACTTTAATCCTAATGAATTAAAAATAGAAGGTGTTAGAAAAGTTCTAATTCAGTGAATGCACTTGTGGTGTGCTGTGTACCCAGAGATCCATGAAAGCAGTAGTAGCAAGTGATAAATTAAAGTATCTAGGAGAAAGTATTTACCTATAAGCTCCCCTGGCCTCTAAAGAAATGATAGAGCAGACATTTTTCATTGTACACAGGTATCTTGTACAGTGTCCTGACCTTTGATTAATACATTCTGTTCTTTTCTCTTCTAGCCAAAATCAACCTTGTCTTTGTTATTCTTATGGCAAGGAAATGTCAAACAGAGAACTAGAGCATGATCTTTACATATGTAACTGAGGTCTTTTTGCTGTGTCCCCCATGAAGGATGGTAGAAAGGCAAAAAAGCATGAATGAAAGAATGAGAAAGTAAGACAGTACTTGTTTTGAAACAAGATCATTTTCATAATGAAGTCATCTGTCTATGAGGGCATAGTTCTCCTCACAATCAAGTCTTAAAGATTCTACCTCTTTTTTCTATTATTTTTCTTTTTCACTTTTTTTTTATTGTGAAAATGCCGTACAGAGGGGTTACAATTACATGACCAGGATAATGAGTATATTTCTTATCAAGCATTATTCCTTCCTCCTTTGTTTCCCCTTACCATCCCTTCCCATTTACTCCCCCCTCCCATCCCACCCTCCCTTGCACCAAAGTTGTAAAGTTCGTTTTTTGACATGACATCCCATTGTTGCAATGGGTCCACCTGTATCCCTATTTAAACAATTTGTTTTTGTCCCTTCCTACAAAGCAACAAAGAAATCATTTTATAAATATGTTAGAAATAATAGCAAGAAAGAAAAACCATTTAATTCCTTATCTTGAGGTTCATTTTGCCTAACATCAACTTATCTGACTGGATATATGGCTATAACTCAGGGCCTGGACGCTGTCCCTAAGCTCTTTTGCTAAAAGCTAGTGCTTTACTACTTAGAGTCACAGCCCTACTTCTTAGAATGCCTGAGGACCGATGGCTCACATCTGCAGTCCATGAGACACTAATCTCCAATTCATCACAGAAAAATCTGGAAGTGACACTGTGATTCAAGTGGTGGAGCACTAACTTTGAATAAAAGCTCAGACCCTAGGACCAGAAAAAAAGAAGAGAATGCTAGACAGATACTATGAAGGAAAGTATAGGAATCTCGAGAAATAAAGGCTTTCCAAAATCAGTGATGATTAGGCTATGATCTAATATATGAGATATGATTTATTTGTCTTAATGCTGAAGCTGTCTAATATCCTAGACCCTCTCATGTATCTGCTGATAAATCTGAATGAACAAAAAATAATTTTGGGAGTGGGAGTGTGGTACGAGTTAGAATTCTTTTTTTGCCTTAGGAAAATTCTCTTTTCAGATTAGAGCTTTGATGTCCCAGAAAAATGTTTAAAGTAATTGTGTTGTTTCTTAGAAATTATCATACAATTAAGAATATCTCTTTTAATCTCCCTATAACTGTGTATAGGATGGAAAGAATACTTTATTCCAGTGTATTGGAATACTTCAGATTGTTTTTGACTCTTCTAGTCTGATAGTCATACTTTGAAAACAAATCCTTAAGTTGTTGAAAACTGATGAGCTTTCTTTCTGCCATAGGAATAGAAGACAGAACTTGCTTCACTTTATATATCCATGGAGGGGAAGGGATTGTCCTACAGCATCTCTTTTGAAAAGCTTAGTGGTGAAGCCTTTGACATCAACATTCTCATCAAGGACACCAATTCAACCAAAGTGATTTGCTGTGGCCTGAAGTCTCCCCTACAGTTCCTCTGTTCCCTTGCAAGCTACATTACACACTAAAGGTACCGAACATTCTAGGCAGACAGCTTATGTTTTGTTGAAAGTGTATGAGTGAATGAAGGTGCTATCTTATGGGACTTTATCATTGAGTGACATGCATGAAGAATTTACACACAATAGGAATCAGTCCTCAATTGCAGTGATTAATGATGAGATTTCATATCTTAACCATAAATGTTCCTTAGGCCAAGTATTTTACCTTGAACCAACATGATGCCATGGCAAAAAGAAACTGTAATAGGGTTTCAAATCCAACCGCAAATTATTTCTGCCCACGACAACATAAAGTTAGCTATTCTCATTCCCCGATTTAGTACTTGTTTGACCATATGAAAATTCTTCATTGTGATTAAAATTTTTAATGTATTTTAAAAACAAAAATATTTTAAATTCCCATGTGCACATCCCATTAGGAAGTTGATGTGATGCCCAGAAGCTCTCTATTTCTGTCATTTAGATTTTCTTGTGTGTGCCAGTCCTCTTTTTGTTTGTTTTGCTTTGTTTTTACTTTAGGCTAGTGCTCTACCACTTGCCATAGCTCTACTTTCATCTTTGTTGGTTATTAGTTCGAGCTAAGGTTAGTTAGAGCTAAGGTTAGCCACAATTCTCAGATCTTAGCCTCTTTAGGATTAGAGGAATGAGCCACTGGTGCCCAACTATGTTACCTGTATTTAAATCATGTGAACTGCTAAGGGTTTTCCCATTTTTTTTTGTGAAAATATGCCTCAACAAAATAAATAGTAAAAGAACAAAATAAAAGTTATTTTGATTCTCTAAAATAGACAAAAAAACACAATATTCTAAATTTAAGTGATAAAGTAAAACTTTTTCGAGTTGTTGAAAGACTGTATATATTTAGTAGCATTTGGTGGAAAAATG